AATAATAATAATAATAATAATAATATACTTTATTGTCATTGTACATAGTACAACATAGAGGGTGGCTACTTTTAAGTTTTTGGGAGTGATTAATGAGCAAAACTTGACCTGGAGCGCTAACACCACTGCTCTTCTTCTTCTTCTTCTACCTCACAGGGTGTCTGTTGTGGGGAGGGGAGGGGAAGGGAGAGGAGTTTGTCAGCCGCTCTGAGACTCCTTTGGGTAGTGAAGGGCGGGGTATAAATCCAATCTCTTCTTCTTCATCTTTTACCTCACAGGGTTGTCTGTTGTGTGGAGGGGAAAGGAAAGGAGTTTGCAAGCCGCTCTGAGACTCCTTTGGGTAGTGAAGGACGGGGTAGGAATCCAATCTCTTCTTCTTCTTCTTCTACCTCACAGGGTGTCTGTTGTGGGGAGGGGAAGGGAGAGGAGTTTGTGAGCCGCTCTGAGACCCCTTTGGGTAGTGAAGGGCGGGGTATCAATCCCATCTCTTCTTCTTCGTGAGTCACGGCTCACTTCTTCAGATACCAGGTATCTGAAGATGTGAGCCGTGACTCACGAAAGCTACTCCGCTGCCACATGTTTTGTGAGTCTTGAAGACTTCCATCAAGTTCACCCTCCATACCCACCGGTGGCCAACCAGTGTCCTGCAGGAAACCAAGAGCGTCAAGCCATGACGGCTACCAAAAACCTGGCCTGGGAAGCCCTTTATAGAGGCTGCCTGCAAAGCTCGTTTCAAGAGAAGTGATACCCCAAGACAGAGACATTCCTACTGCGCCCGGGACTCCGGGAGCCTTGTCGGGGAGGACACACCTGCTTTGCCGTTTCTCTCAGCCAGTCTTTGATGTCGCCTTCTTTCAGGGAGCAGCCCACGAAGACCAGGAAGCAGTCCTGAGGCCCGCCGTGGTCTCGGCTCTCGTTTCTTGAATCGGGAGGGGGAGTCGGCCCCTCCTGAACGGGCGCCAGGCTTAATGAGTTGGAGGAGGTGTTGTGGCAGACTTCAATCACTCGGTCCGAATCTGACGCGGGAAGATCATATACCAAAGACGCCTTTTAAAAACGAGGAATGCTCACACACTGCACCCTAACGAGATTCAAGGGCTGGTTCTACACTGGATCACAGAATTACGAGTTGAGCTCTGGAGGTTGCCTTGGGCTGCTATTAAAGCTAAGCACGAGGGACGTTACGTACGTGACCGCCAAGGCGGTTGTTCTCTTGGATCCTAGTTGGACACTCTTAACGGAGGCTCTGACGAGGAAGCGGGAGACACGAGTTCGAATCCCCACTCTGCCATGGAGCCGTGCTAGGTAGGCCAGTCACGCCACTCAACCTAACCTATTTCAGAGTTGTTGGGAAGATAGAATGGAGCAGCGGGGAACCGTGTTTGGTCCCCCAGTGGGTGGAAAGTCAGGCACAAGAGGCCGTGGGATACGATTAAATAAGAGACAGGCCCTGAGCAGCTTAGCGGGAAGGGAAGAGGAGAGGACGCCAGTTACCTGAAAACTTTACTTTGCCCAAAATGTGGTATATGTTTCCAGAGAAAGGACTTGGCTTAATGGAGGACTTCAGGGCTGTTGGAAAATTAAAAACAAACAAACACACACACACAACAGCATCAATCCTCTTTTCTCCTTCATCGGATATGAGCAAGAAAACCAAAGACAATTTGCAATACCCTAATTCATCTCCACAATTAATTCGGTAGGCAATATAAAGACATTAAGCGGGAGAATAAAGTTACACAGGTGTCAGAGTTGTGTAAAGAATAACTCTCAACGGAATGCTAAACATGCCCAAAGGAAACAGGTACACAAGGAGCATTGTTAACATCTCCGTTAAAGCGCGCGTGCGCGTACACACACACTGCAACAATCAGGAAGTCAAATCACATACAGCAAAGGACATTAATCACCAGGGGGTAAAGGTAAAGGTTCCCTTGCTCGAAAGCCAGTCGAATCCGACTCTAGGGTTGCGGTGCTCATCTCCGTTTCCAAGCCGAAGAGCCAGCGCTGTCCGAAGACGTTTCCATGGTCATGTGGCTGGCATGACTAGACGCCGAGGCGCACGGAACGCTGTCGCCTTCCCACCGAAGCGGTACCTATTTATCTACTTGCAATTTCTTGCTTTCGAACTGCTAGGTTGGCATCATGAGGAAGACACCTTCTAATGCAAAGTATTGATACAAAGGTCCACCTATTGCTTATGAACTACTACTAGGCCTTGTAATTATGGAGACAACTGGAAAGCATTCAGGAAAAGCTCCATTCATTTGGGGGTGGTGTGTCCGAGTCCTACTGAGCTATTGGTTTATTTCCTCTTCCATGGCTTTTGCACAAATCCTGCCCTTATTGGCCAAGACCCACAGTCTCCCCTACCTACCTTCCTCCCCACCCACCATGTCAACCTGTTGAGAAAGACCGACCTTTCCAGGGCTAGCTCTACAGTGAGGGGGTGACCTCAAGTCTTGGAGGGGGGCGGGGGGCAGCCTCCTCTTACCCTCGGGGAGACCCTCCCAACACTTTCTGCTTCATTTCCCCAGCATCGTTAAACATAAAAGGAGCCCTGCTGGATCAGACCAATAGTCCATCCAGTCCAGCATCCTGTCTCACACAGGGGCCAACCAGTTCCTCTGGAGGGCCAACCACAGGGCAGAGAGGCCAAGGCCTTCCCCTGAGAAGAACATCAGAAGAGCCCTGCTGGGCCAGACCAGGGAGGGTCCATCTAGTCCAGCCTCCTGTCTCACACAGGGGCCAGCCAGTTCCTCTGGAGGGCCAACAACAGGGCAGAGAGGCCGAGGCCTTCCCCTGACATCTAAGAACCTAAGAACAGCCCTGCTAGATCAGAGCAGTAGTCCACCTAATCCAGCCTCCTGTCTCACACAGGGGCCAACCAATTCCTCTGGAGGGGCAGCCACAGTGCAGAGAAGCCGAGGCCTTCCCCTTGAGGTTGCCTCCTGGCTCTGGGATTCAGAGGCTTAGTGCCACCTGGATGTGGAGATTCCCCTCAGCCACCATAGCTAGGAGCCATTGATAGAGTTCTCCTTCTCAAATCTCTCTAATCCCCTTTTCAATTGTCTGGCAGCGAATACCACATTTTAATCACTCGCCGTGTAAAGTGGTATTTCCTTTTGTCCATCCTGACCCTCCTGCCCATCTGCTTCATTGGATGGCCCTCGAGTTCTGGTATTTGGGGGGAGGGAGAAAAAGTACATAATCTGATAAACCTCTCTCATGTCCCCCCCCCCCCAGTCGTCTCTTTTCTAAACGGAAAAGTCCCAGAGACGCTTCGCCCTTTCCTCCTTGGCTGCAGCGTTCCCTCTAAGCTGAGTCAGTGTGAGCTAGCTCACAGTTTCTTAGCCTCCGGCTCTCAGATTTTTGCCTTCGCTCAGGAAGGAAGGGCTCCAGAGCAAACGAATTGATGCAGCAGCCAAATCGCTCGTCCACAACTTTCATGCCGGTCGCTCACAAAGTAGGATTTTTGCTCACAGGACTCCACAGCTTGGAGGGAGCCTTGCTCGGTTGCCATCCCCTGCACTTCCCCCAGCTCTGCAACGTCCTTTCTGGGAAATGGTGACCAGAACTGGCCATCCTGGAGCAAGCCGTGCACACTGAACGGGGGGATGCTGGGACACTTGTGAGGGGAATGAGAAGGAAATGAGCATGAGGTGCTTTGGTGGCAAGGGATTCCAGTCAGGGGCAGTGCACTCGGACAGCCCCCTTTGTTAAGTTGCCATGGGACCAATGTTCCCTCTGAGCCGTGGGAGTCTTGTGAGCAAAAATTCCGCATTGTGAGCTACTGGCATTAAAGCTGTGAACGAGCAATTTGGCTACTGCATCAGTTAGTTTGCTCTGGAGCCTTCCTTCCCGAGCAGAGACAAAAAATGTGTGAGCCAGAGGCTAAAAACCTGTGAGCTAGCTCACACTAACTCAGCTTAGAGGGAACACTTCATGGGACCGCCTCTGAAAACTTCTGGACGCTGGTTTCACTGGCACAAAGGATGCACAATACAGCCATGCTTCTAACGCCAAGAAAAGCCAATGTCTGAAATGCCTATAATAGGGGTGTCAAATATGCGGCCCAGGGGCCGGATGAGGCCCCTGGAGGGCTTCTCTCAGGCCCGCAGTGGAACTGGCTGTCTTCTGCTGCTTCTTCCAGTTCCGCTGCTGCTGTGTCATCGTAGGTTTGCAGTTTACAGATACACACCTGAACAGCATACTGAAGATTGCAACAGCACAGACATTTTGATGCAATAATTCAGAGCAAGAGGTGTCAGTTATCAGACTCTGTTGAATAAACAAAATATTGCAAGAGTGCTAATGTTTTAAGCATGTTTTAAAGTAAAAAAAACTCCTTTGTGTTTGTGTCCTTTATAAAGTTTATATCTACACTACTTGGCATTACATTTTATGACACGTATGGTCTCATTTAGGTCAGATCCGGCCTTCATAACAAATGAGTTCGACACCCCTGGCCTACACGTCCCTTCAAGCATACACAGACTTTGGCATAACTGATGTTGCTGCCATTATTCATGGGGACGGCCAGAAAATCTAGACTGGGCACTGGAAAAGACAAGCACGTGCTCCACACTGCACCCCACTCCCCCCCCCAAGATCTCTCCGAGTGTTGTCCCTGTATGTTTGAGCTTGCCTTTGCATCCATAAGGACTAGGAACTTGAGCATCCTGAGGATACCGTTTTCGAACAGAGCGCAAGCTCCCAACGCAGGAGTAAGACCTGCACTTTTGTCAGACTGCGGCAATGTGCAACTGAGCACTGCAAGTTGGACTTGGGCAGAAAAAGAGGAGACGATGTCGACTACTGGATTTGTTTTGTGTGCACAAGTGGAATTCTGGCAAAGACTAGCAGCAGCCCCAGCTTTGTGAATGGGGGGGGGGGGGAGGGGGAACCTTTTGCCAGTTACAAAAGTGCATTTGCTAACCATTTCATAGAGAATGCCACATGAAACCAACCATCTTCCAACACACAAGTCCACTTTTTACCTTTACACTTGGCCACGAATCGTGTTTTCTCCAGCGGACGGTTAAACCACACACAGATCTGAACCATGGGGGGGACAACCGAACCTGACCGAAATTTGCCGTCGTGCCTTAATGGGTGAAAAAGAAAAAGAAGCAGAGATTGTATGTTTGTTACTTCTCCAAACGCAGCCCAAGTCCAAGACTTTTGCAGTTATCTGAGCCTTTGAGTAGATGGGCCTTTCTGTATAAAGAATCTACGGACTTTAGTTGCTGTAGATTTTCCGGGATGTCCGGCCGTGGTCTTGGCATTGCAGGACCTGACGTTTCGCCAGTAGCTGTGACTGGTATCCTCAGAGGTATATCCTTGATACAGAGAGTACTCCATCCTGGTACTTTCCTGGTGGAACGTGCTCCCGGAGGAGATCAGGGCCCTGTGGGACCTTATGCAGTTCCGCAGGGCCTGCAAGACGGAGCTCTTCCGCCAGGCTTTTATATAGGGGCCGCCACTTCTTATAAATTACCTGCCTACCATTTTCCTTCTCACCTTGACACAGAGAGTATTCCCTCTTTCTGCGGTATACCTCTGAGGATGCCAGTCACAGCTGCTGGCGAAACGGCAGGTCCTGCAATGCCAAGACCACGGCCACACAACCCGGAAAATCTACAGCAACGAATGAACTCCGGCCGTGAAAGCCATCGACAACGTATCAATCTATGGACTGTTTTCACAGCTAAACTCACTCAAGGATTCTACTGAGGTGGAGAGCACGTTAAATAAAAGAGAGGTGAAGACCTCTTCGGGGCCTGGATGGAGAATCGGGTGAGAAATTTTATCTGTCCAGGAATGAAGAGGCATGTGACACTTCTGGTCAGGGCTATTTTTGGGCAGGAACGCATAGGAACGGAGTTCCGGCTGGCTCCCAAGTTGGCCACGCCCAGCAGGAACTCATTAGCATAATAGGCCACACCCAAAAGCAGGAACGCATTAGGATTGGCTACATTAGGGGTGTGTGGCCTAACATGCAAAGGAGTTCCTGCTACAAAAAAAAGGCCCTGGGTTTGGACAACAAACAAATCTACAGCAACGAATGAACTCCGGCCGGGAAAGCCCTTCGACAACGTATCAATCTATGGACTGGTTTCACAGCTAAATGTCAAGGATTCTACTGAGGTCATGAGCACGTTAAACAAAAGAGAGGTGAGGACCCCTTCGGGGCCTGGATGGAGAATCGGGTGAGAAATTTGATCTGTCCAGGAATGAAGAGACATGTGATACTTCTGGTGGCAATTAAAAAAAATATGGCTTGGATCCTGTGGATCTGTTCTGTTGAGGGTCCCATGAACTGCTTGATCTCCTCCAGCGCTCAAAGACTTTCCTCTCTCCTGCCCTTCCCCAATCATCCCTCGGCTCTTGAATGTCTCCCAACGATGCAATGGTTTCTAACTTTACGCTATCCGGTTGTACCTCCATGACTCATTCATTACCTGTCCCCTTCACCAACTGCTATTGGGAAACCTGTTGCAGATTTGTGGAAGTCTGGAAAATGCTTCACAGCCCACTCCGCAGGAAATTAACACATCTCTACAATTTCAGAGTGATTCATGGTGAGGGGTATTCACCCGGGCACAAAGGGAAGCGGTAAACCACGCAGCTGTCTTCCTGTACACATGAAATTGCCGTATACTGAATCACACCCATCGGTCCATCAAAGTCTGTACTGTCTACTCGGACCGGTGGCAGCCCTCCGGGGTCTCAGGATGAGGTGTTTCACGTCACCTCCTGCCAGGTCTTTTCAATAGAGGCGCTGGGGATACAAACCGGGACCTTCTCTATGCAAAAGAGAGGCTCTTCCACAGAGCCACGGCCTCCCTGTCCTATAGAGGTCTCCAACTTTGTCTAGAACTAGCTTGGAAACGGGCAGCGGGTGAGCAAGAGGTTAACCAAACAAATACATTGAAAGAGGCTGATCACAGAATTTCATTAACAAAGTGATTTTAGTCAGAGAGATGGAATGGACAGGGGGCAAAAGTTTAATGGTGCTTCTCAGGGGTCATTTCCTGCAGGAGCGCACAGGAGCAGAGCTCCGGCAGTAAAGAGCCCAGGGGGCGGGCACATGCAACAAGCCCCACCCCCTGCTCCCAGCAGCCCTCAGTCAGAGCAAGAAGCAGCCAGGTAAGTTGCACAGCCCCCCCGCCCCCCTGGTCCTAAAGAGTCCAGTGGGACCTTTAAGACCAAGTTTTATTCAGGTACAAGCTCTCCCTCCTCTGCGAGGACCGATCTGCATGTCCCCCCCCCAATAGCTAGCAATCCAAAACAGTCCAATGGAGCCTGAGCGGTGGGTGTTGCCTTCTGACACACGTCCAGTGATGTCAGGGGGTGTGGCATATGCAAATAAGTTATGCTAATGAGTTATGCTAATGAGCTCCTGCACCTCTTTTTTCTACGAGATGACCCCTGGTGCTTCTTAACAGACGTGCCAACTGGCTGCCTATAGCATACCGAATTCAGTTCAAGGTGCTGGTACCTATCTTCAAAGCCCTTTATGGTCAGGGGCCTACTTACCTAAGGGACCGCCTTTCTGGAGAGCACTACGCTTGGTGTCCCAAGATCGGCCGGCTCTGCCGGGCCCCAGAGAAACCAGGCTGGCTGTGACGAGGGCCAGGGCCTTCTCAGTGGTGGCCCCTCACTGGTGGAAAGAGCTCCCAGAAGACATCAGGGCCCTGCGGGATCTTTTACAGTTCCGCAGGGCCTGTAAGACAGAGCTCTTCCACCAGGCCTTCAATTAAGGAGCCGCGCCATACAAACTGTGGCCCTGGCCCCAATACTAGCACTAATATCTACACAACAATATTAGCATTATTACCAGGACTTTTTTGGTAGAAAAAGCCCAGCAGGAACTCATTAGCATAATAGGCCACACCCAACAGCAGAAACTCATTAGCATATTAGGCCACAGCCCTGACAGCACAGCTCATTAGCATATTAGGCCACACACCAATGTTACCAGAAGTGTGCTCATCCAGCCACGCCCACCTTTTGCTTCTTATTCTGTTGACCTTGTTTGTGGTCAAAACCCAGGGCCTTTTTTTGTAGCAGGAACTCCTTTGCATGTGAGGCCACACACCCCTAATGTAGCCAATCCTAATGAGTTTCTGCTGTTGGGTGTGGCCTGTTATGCTAATGAGTTCCTGCTGGGCGTGGCCAACTCGGGAGCCAGCCGGAACTCCGTTCCTGTGCGTTCCTGCCCCAAAATAGCCCTGATTATTACTTACAGCCTGATGTAACCCAGACTACGAAGGTAGCCGACTTATGTATTGTCGGGTGCTGCTCATGCCCGCCATCACCCACGAACTGTTTCAGCACTAGCACTTTGTAATGTTTTTTATGGCTATATTGTTATGATATTGGCTGAATCTGCATCTCATTTTTAAAGCAGTCTTGACGATGTCTTTCTTTATACTGGCGAGATGCTTGTTTGAAAGAAATCTGCTATTTTTTTTCCTGCTTGCTGGCCGGGAATGCTGCTATTCTCCTCCCTCTTCTCTAGCACTCCCAGCGTTTGCCGGCACCCATTCGCTTTACGCAAGGCAATAAATTACTTAAGGCAACAAGCCAACAAGCTATAAACTTCTCTTTACACTCAAAGAGAAGGGTTTTCTCAGCTTTCAGTTTTGCCCAGCTTTTGGTTTAAACAAGAAAGTCAGTCTTTTCCTGTCTAAAGTAAAACGAGAGTCTCGATATTGTGTATGTTTAAAATGACCGACTGTTCATTTAGAAAAGAGAAAATTCTTTATCACAAGACCTTTTAAAAGAAAAAAAAACTTGTCAGAGGTATAGTCAATATTTTTAAGCATAAGCACCCCACCGGTAGAAATTAATCTGACGAGTTTATCCTTAACTTTTGATGTCATACATAGACTTTCTAAGGTCTTCATTAAGAGTAGCTATTGTGGTTTTCTAACAGTGGCTACTGTGCTATAATAAATGTGATTTAAAAAAGAAAAGAAAAAAAGCCAAAATAGCCAAAAATAGCCAAAAACCGGTAAGGACCGGGTGTTTAGTCTGCAGAATGTATGTATGTATGTATGTAGAAGGCATCTTTCTCTAACTTTTCAGGCAATATAGAAATCACAAAACAAGACAAAATCATTCACTCTTAGCTTGTCAAGCAAGGGAAAAGTTTCTTATATTCCTCTATGTGCTGTCAGAAGGTAAACAGAGCAGATAAGCCTCCGATTAGCGCGGCTTAGAGTGCTTACAACCACATGCCGTTAAGACAGAGAGAAGCTACAATTACAATGGAGCCGAAACCACAGGGCAATAAAATAGTGCAGACAGCAGAAATTATAACGGTGCAGTAGGAGAGCAAAACCTAAGGAGATGTGGACATCTTTTTTGGAGATGGAGCGAGAGTGTGGCCAAAGTAGTGGAAAACACCAATGCAGATTCCACCATTATCTATATCGGTTTTAGTGGTGGAATATCTTACGTAAGCCGCCCTGAGCCTGCTATGCAGGGAGGGATGGGTAGAAATTAATTAATTAAATA